TGAGTAGTGCAGATATCACTGTAAAATCAATCGACAGTAAGGGGAATACTTACTTCCGGGTGTACAATTCTCCGTTATCCAATGGGAATGGACGCTCACATTGCCTTTAAGGGCAGCCGACACAAACGAATGCCGTGCTTCCATGAGCGTCAAATCCCACCGCAGATGGGAATACATTGCAATCAGTTGAAAGCTATTTGCGTCCCTTTATGAAGCTGAAGGAGCCTAGGAGCGTCACAACTGTACGCCACGGGACCCTGACCAAACGTCGCTCCTGGACGATTAAGGAGTGAGAGTGTGTTGTCAGGCCACATGGAGTGTTAGTAGGCCTATATTTGCAAATGTTTATTAGTTTGGATTCGTTTTCTCAATCACAACAAAATTACCTTTTCCCACAATCGCTGTCATGGTCAAACGTTTCCTCTAAAATCATTTTACCATTCACGAAAAGTACAACGTTTTGAGCCGAAATGGGTTGTTCTTGAGGTACAGTGTCTGTAAAAAGTCCCTAATATGTATGTTGTGTATATGGGGTATTTACCAAAAGAGAAACACAATTAAGGAATCAAGTCATGGAGTTGAAAAAAGCATGCGAAAAAATAAGCCACAACCCTTTCCATGGGATGGACTGAAGACATTTATTGAATGCCACAAATCTGATTGATTCTGATACCTCTGTACCCTCCTAGATCCTGTTCAGGCTAGACATTTTGTTCCTTATAGAATGGTTGGTCGAGGGACAAGAACATTTTGCATGTTTTAGCCACTGATTTCCACAAATATAAAAAAAACAAAAATCACCTTTTTCAGAGTTTATTTTCTTGATTGAAATAAAGCACTCGACAACAAACATTATTTCTGTGAATTCCCTGTACAGTAATCTCTGGCTAATATCCGTCAAAACACTAACATATCTTAATTGATAATGTCTTTATTGTTGAACTGAAATGAAACGCAGGCTTTGTAAGACACAGCTGTAATGCTGTATCTGTTATTTCAGTTTTGCCAAGTTTGCCTCATTCTTACTCAGCAAAAGCCCGGGGAGCTGCTTCAGGGTAGCACAAATCCACATGAGTATACCTGGAAGCTGCAAAGTCCACATACAGGTCATTAGTTTGCCATGGAACAACTCCACTGCAGCAGTGCCCAGAGTAACTTCCAGAAAACAACATTTCTCAAATGGCAAAATAGTCCCGGGAACAACACAGAAGCTGCTGTCAAATCATTTATGGGTGTATCTTTTTATACACGGCAAACACTGATATTCATGTGGCACTTTACAGTGTCTCATAACTTCATTTATTGGACATCTTTTGTTAAACATACATTTCATGAATAATCAATTAAGGAGCCACTTAGCATGCATCACATTTCCATAGCAGGCATATAATCACAGTTAATGTTTTAAGAAAAACTATGTACAGCAAATATAAATAATAATAATAACAATAATAATAATGATATTTTTAATAATAATAATAATAATATAAATTTTTCAATTTATAAAATTGCAAATATGTGGATATTGGCATAGCCACATTATACAGTAGGTAAAATGTATCTTGTCTTGGACACACTTTCCAACCAGTGATACGCTTAACGGTTAAGAGCTTTTGTATCAGTTTTAACACTGCAATGAACACTGACTAAGAATTGCAGAAGATTTCCATCATTCAAAAGTAAAGTACATATACAATAAATAGCAGTTTGCAACTTGTATGTGTGTGGTATACACAGATGGCTACCCACGTGACAAATACAATGATTTAGAGAACAATGTTACATTTTCTTTTCTCAATGAAACAGCTCCTTGTTACAGACATTTCTTGTTTTACATTCAGTGATTTGGAGAATGGGACCCCACAAACAATGCACATAAAGAGCCAACGTGCCTTTTAATAAGACACTATCAGTTTTTCAGTCACTCAGCTCCATACGCTTTAAAAAGCAGATTGCCGTTCCCCCCTATGATGCGTTTCCCTTGACAGGATGAGGTATTTGCCAGAAGAGATGCTTTTATGTATCGCTCTTCCTTCAGTCTGATCAGAAAGTGATGCTGCAGTTTAGCAGTGCAAGATCTTAATAAATGCCTTTCTGAACTCAACATTAAAGGTGGTGTATATGATGGGATTAATAGCACTATTCACATAGCCCAGCCAAGTGAAAGCATTATACATTTCAGCGGGGACCTTGCATTTTGTGCAGTGGGTGTTCAAGATATGCGTGATGAAAAATGGCAACCAGCATATGATGAATACACCTGTGGAGATACGAGAAAAAAATGGGAATATTAGAAAAAGAGTCACAAAAATGAAAAGGAAGCAAGCTTTTTTTTCGACACTCAAATATGGTTGACTTTAAGAATTTGAATAATTTCCTGTCATTGCATCAGCTTGTCTTATCTTTAAGCCAAAGAAAATGACGTGGCTTGTGCAAAAGAGAAACAGTTTTCTTTTTAAATTGCACAATAAGAATAAGTTAGAAGAGATACAAATATTTCATTTTTAACAGAGTCCCCTGCTGGTTTGATGTTGTAATCACTGCATGTTGTTTTGCAATAGATAACCAAAACGTAGTTATTTGGTTGTGGAAACGCTTCATTACCAACAGCTCCACTTTGGAGAGTATATTCACATTAAACAGCATTTCATAAACTTTAATGTCAATCATTTTAAATTATTTATGTTAAATATTACTTAAATCAGTAGTAACATATCTTACCAAGGACGATGGCTAACATCTGAGTGGCCTTCTTCTCCTTCTGCTGGGAGATCTTCCTCTTGCTCATGGTCTTCACAGAGGTCTGAGTCTTGCCATTAGGTAATGCTTGCGTCTGGAAGGCTTTAGCCACAAGGGGTGCTGGATCCCGGAGGACCTCCTTGGTAGGATCTCCATTTTTCTCTGCTTTCTGGCCCTGCTCAGGGGGTGTGGGGGGTGAGGAGGTGGGGCTAGCGTTGGCCTTGTTGGGCATCAGTAGCTGGTGGCTGGTGGCCGGAGTGTCTCCCAGAGCACACTGTGGCGGCTGCTTCTGTTTCTGGCTGCTGCCACTGTTGTTCAGCTCATCCAGCTCCAGCTCCTCCCCCTCATGGACTACTTCTTTGATGAATATCTGAGCAAGGTCAGGATGAGCACAAAAACATGGATTCAGATGGTCATGTTTTGTATTAAGGCATGTTTGGCATTTAACGGATAACAAATAATCACGCTTTAAATGTTGAATTTCCATTTGCTGTGTTCACAGAAGCAGAAAAGGTTGTGTTTTAAGCTGTATTTTCTCTTGAGAAATGGAGTAGAACTTCAAGGGGACACCTTGATAAATCTTTTACAGGAAAAACAAACATGGTTCCTACAATTAAACTTTTTGAGAAATAGCAGCAACCAAAATAACAAAAAATTGCACACACCACTTTCTTCTTGTTGACAGGAAAACTTCCATTAGATTTAACAATCATGGTGCACAACCTCACATCCTCTGGATGAGTGCACTTATCCTGAAATAAAAAAACAGCTGTGTCAGGCACGCACAGGGTACAACATCAAAGAACAACTGACAAAAGGGATGTCTAAGCACAGGTCCCACAGCCTACGAGGTAAAATTAGGCTTCATTGAGCTATGATGCAGAAAGGCTGTTTAGTAGGAGTCCTTTTTTTTCTGACAGTTTAGGACATACAGTTTTTCATGTAAATATCTGAGATCTGATATATGTTAAAGTACAAGTGAACCTTTATTACATTATTTTGCTCCTTAAAGGTGGGGTAGGTAATTTTGGAGAAACCAGCTCGAGTGCGCTAGAATTTGAAAATACACAGCCGGGAGAAATCTGCCACTTCCTTACAGAGCCCCTCCTCCAACACACACCAGGGTATATGCAGAAATCCTGGGGTCAAATTTAATACCTGCACAGATGGAAGGCTGACAGGCAGGTAGGCCATCCAGTGATTTTAGACGGGCCGGCTAAAATGATTGGTCGTGCTTTTTACAGTACTACGGCTTCCACAGATGGATTTTTTTATGGATTTTTTGTCAAAGCACTTAAGATATTCATTGCTATCGGGATGTTAAGAGCATTCCATGGAATATAACAAAAAGTGTATCTCGAGCCGGTTTCTCAAACTTACCTACCCCACCTTTAAAGATTATGTACATAATCTATACTGCCATACAAGACTTCACCGGTCATTGAATTAATTTGCAGTCTTTCAATTCCTGTAAAGATGCAGAAACCGCATGGTGAAGCCATGCATGAACATGAATAATGTAGTGTTCTGATCAAAACCATTACTTGGCTTCCTGTGCAGAGCCCATTGAGTGTTTAGGTCAGTAGAATCAATAGAACGTAAAGCAAAAGGTCACTTTAGGGCCATCACAATTAAAGAAAGGAGACAGCTTTCAACACTGAAAACCTGCCAGTTAATGTGACATTAAGATTAAAATTGGTCTCCCAGATGAAAACACTATTAGAGTAGGGTGGTGGACACTTGAAATGCCTTAGGTGTAACTGAGGCTTGACCTTTCAATATCTTGCATTGAATGTTGTCCACTGTTCTTTCCCAAAAAATCAATTCGCTCCTTGTCTGGGTTTCCCCTTTACATTATGTTATTATGTAATGCAATGCCTATACATAAAACCATCAAGTATCATTGGGTTGAGAGAATTATTGATTGTTGTTTCATAAATACACAAATGAACCTTAAAGGGCACGCTGTATTTACACGGTTGAAAAAGACATCATTCTACAACATCTGGAAACAGAACGATACAGATCTCTGGGGTAATACAAGCGTAAATCACTCACAGGTCCACATCAAAGCAGTAAAATATTTAGTAGTAAATAGCAGCCATATTGCAAGCTCACCTTCAGCAAAGTAGGCATATCAGGGTCGGCCGCCTGACAGATACGCTGCTTCGGTTTGGTGTTTACACGTTTTCTGCGCTTCCTCAGCACCACATAAATTTGCACATAAACCAGCAGAGTGATGATGAAGGGAACATAGAAGGACACGATGGAAGAGTATACCACGAAGGCCGGGTTGGCGATCACACATTGAGACTCATCACGGGTAGCTGTGGAGATAAACACAGGGTGAATAAAGACCTATGACTGCATCTTATGCCCCATCCAAAGAAATTTTTTTATTACAGTTTTGTCGTGTCATTGTCAATGTGTCTCTTGAAAAACTTTCTGAAATACAATGTGGAAACGTTTTATGAATTTAGTTTTTCTTGCAAAGAACAAAGAAAAGATAGATGATGGATTGCTCTTTGATTTTGATCTATGGGAAGCTCATCCAAAAATGTAACCATTTATAATACCACCATCACATAGAGGTCATTCAAACATTTTTTCTCCCCTCCCCTCTCATGTTCACTTAGACCATTGTAGTGTAGCTGATCCAGGAAACTGCCACTGGGCTCTACTCAGGTGGAGAATGTAGAGATCATATCAACTCAAGGCTAGATTCCCTGCACTGATTGCTAGTTAATTTTAGATTTTCACACACACACACACACACACACACACACACACACACACACACACACACACACACACACACACACACAC